TATCTCTATCTCTATCTCTATCTCTATCTCTATCTCTATCTCTATCTCTATCTCTATCTCTATCTCTATCTGTCTGTCTGTCTGTCTGTTGTGGCCCAGCAGGATCCGTTGGAGCTGCCACCAGACTCCAACAGCGAGGGGCCCTATGAGTCGGCTCTGGAGGATGTGGAGGAACCTGGACAGAGTTCCGACTCCGAGCAGGGCACAGAGAGGCTGGTTGGCCCCCAGGAGGCGCCTGAGCCTTGGACCAGTGGGGAGGAGACAAGGGAGTGTGAACCTGAGGTCAGCAGTGAGTTGTTCCTGGATGCCTGGCACCGGAGAGCTAATAGGCGTAAGTAACAGTTGCGCTGATACAGGAGGTAATTGCACTCAGCTGGTGGTCATTAGGCTCCTCTCCAGACTATAAGAGGACTGCTTGTGCACACGCCCCTCTTGCAGAAGTCAACACAGGAACAAATGTTGGAGAACATTTTTTGTGAGCTTGGGAGGCTGGATTGCTGCCCAGCTTGTCTGTGCCGGTTTGCTGCCAAGGACCTGTCGGTCTGTTAATTAAATGCTGTAACTTATCTTTGGCTCAGAGTTTGTGTTGGTGTGGGACGAGAGGGGTCAGAACACAGGACTATCTATGGGTCCATGCATTGCCCAGCCCTACATAGAGGTGAATTCAGCCACATCGCTAAGCCTACCCAACCAAAGAGGAGAATTTCATGCATTGTGCAAACCGAGTCATGGTCCAGCCATATGCCCCCACTCCCACCCCGGTCCCGATACGTGGGACGTACCTGTGGCTCCTACTTGCTCCTCCACACTCTGCTGAGTGCCATGGAACTCCAGGAAGAGGGTGGGCAGTTCTGCATAGCTCAGGCCACTGTAGCGGTTACAGGCGCCCATCATGACCTCATCCAGGAACTCTGCGGGAGAAGAAAGTCCCAGCCAACCTGGGCTACAAGGCAGTTTTTGAACTGCACGGCCTGGGTAGTCCCCGACTTACGACCGCCTCAGAGTCTGCCCATTACAGTTGCAAGTTGCAAGGGTTTTTAAGTTGGGTCACGTGACACAGACCTGGTGTTTTTATGGCAGTCATTAAGTGAGTCGGCATGGTCATTAACCACCTTGGATTACATGACTGTGGGACACGGTAAGCGGGCATGACTGCAGGCTGGTTGTGCCAAGTTTCTGAAGTGCGGTCCCTTGACAGTAGAAGGGGGTGGCCGTCAGAACTTCAGGATGGGATTGTAAGGCCTTTTGGGGGGTCTCTCATAGCTGAAAGCTGGACCGTAAGGAAGACTGAGCACCAAAGAATTAAGGCCTTTGAACTGGGATGCTGGAGAAGACTCCGGTGAGTCCCTTGGATGGACTTCCTTGCTTTCCTTGCTTTCCTTCCCTTCCTTCCTTCCTTTCCTTCCCTTCCCTTCCTTCCTTTCCTTTCTTCCCTTCCTTCCTTCCCTTCCTTTCCTTTCTTTCCTTCCTTCCCTTCCTTCTTTCCTTCCCTTCCTTCCCTCCTTTCCTTTCTTCCCTTCCTTCCTTCCTTCCCTTCCTTCCCTTCCTTTCTTTCCTTCCTTCCTTCCCTTCCTTTCTTCCCTTCCTTCCTTCCTTTTCTTCTTTCCTTCGTTCCTTTCCTTTCCTTCCCTTCCTTCCTTCCTTTCCTTTCCTTCCTTTCCTTCCTTCCTGCCTTCCTTCCTTCCTTCCTTCCTTCCTTCCTCGTGATTAGAATGCAATATTGCAGGCAAACTCTGCCGACTGCCAGCAGTTCGATTCTCGCCAGGCTCAAGGTTGACTCCGCCTCTCATCCTTCCGAGGTGGGTGAACTAAGGACCCAGATTGTTGGGGGCAAGAGGCTTAGAAAGGGCTGTAAAGCACCATGAAGCGGTAGATACGTCTAAGTGCTGCTGTTGCTATTCCTCTGCCTCCACCCTCCCAGTTCCCCTCCGCCATGAACAACTGGAGTCCCACTCACCAATGCGGGCAATGGGGAGCCCAGCTTGGAGAACCTGCACAGTGCTGTCCACGGCTGCTTGGATGTTGGGGAAGGCACAGATGGCCGCCACGGTGGCCTCGGGAATACCATGGAGTCTCAGTGTAGCCTGGGTGATGAACCCCAGAGTCCCCTCCGAGCCCACAAACAGCCCCGTTAGGTGGTATCCAGCAGCACTCTTCCTGCAGAGGAAGGGAGAACCTGGTGAGGTCTGAGAACCAACCCATCCCACCTTCCATGCACTCAGCTTTGCATTGGTGAGAGACCCCTGGCTGGGTGACCACAACTCACTCAGCTTTGCTGATCTCCAAAGGGGAAGGAGGGCTAGAGCTGATGGACGTGCATGGAAAAGGCAAGGAAAATAGCGTCCCCCTGCAAACCAAAGTGCCTCTAGTCAAGGCTAGGGTTTTCCCAGTTGCAATGTGTGGCTGTGAAAGATGGACCATAAGCGAGGCTGAGCACAAAAGAATTGAGAATGTTAGGCCGGCCTCATTTGGTCTCCAAGAAAGAAAACCCCCCAACTCCGTATGGATAGAGATAAAGGTACTTTTACTGGATATGAAATGAAAACAGCGAAAGCGAAGCAAGATCTGAAGCAAAAAAACATGAACTTGCACACATCAAACATTTACCCAAATCCCCCCCCCCCAGTTACCCCAACCCAATGTCCAATCTCCAACTCCCAAAGGTGTCATGGGAGGGGGGCGCATCTTCAGGTGGCCTTATTCCGTTGGTATGCAGGGACAATTGACCTTGATCAAGCCCAAACACGAGCCATCAGCATGTGCAGAAGATGGTGAGAACAAAACTCCCTTTTTCGAGAATATCTCAACCAGCACTTTTCTCCTCCCAAATACCACAAGCCCCCACCCTCCCCACTCCTATGGCAGCCAAGAGCAAGCATGCAAGATAGAGGCTGACAGAGGCCTTTGAGGTCTGGTGCTGGAGAAGACTCCTGCGAGTCCCTTGGACTGCAAGGCCATCCAACCAGTCAGTCCTAGAGGAGATCAACCCTGACTGCTTTTTAGAA